CACTTTATCAGACACCCCTGCTTTATATGTTCACAGGTGTACTATCACAGACTGCAGTCAACCTGTTGCTGCCCAGTTTATCAGCCCCCCCCACCCTATTTATCATTATAAAGGGACCACCCTCTAACTTACACCAGAAAGGTGAAGCTACAAGGTCAATGTTTCTAATAAAGTTCCCATTAAATGGAAGTATAAGGGAAGTGTTTCTAGTAAAGTGGCCAGTACGTGGAAGTACAAGGGAGGTGTTTCTAATAAAGTGGCCAGTAAGTGGAAGTACAAGGTGGGTGTTTCTAATAAAGTGGCCAGTGAGTGGAAGCGTAAGGTGGAAGTTTCTAACAAAGTGGCAACTCAGTGTACGTAACCAATAGCAAGGGTGCACAAAGTTTCACACAGACGTAAACAAAAGCAAAAAATGCACAAATTCATGCACAGCACACACAAGCGTATGCAGACACGCAGACAGAAATGCACAAACAAAGACGCAGACGCACACACAGGGGCCATCAGGAGGACTGCGCTGGTCTGTGACAGGAGGAATCAGGAGGGAGGATGAGTCATACTGAGAGGAGAGAGAGCAGAGTGTGAAAGAGAGATAGAAGGGTGAGAGAGAGAGTGAGTGAGAGAGAGAGAGGTGAGTGGGGTTTCCTACATAGAAATGATCTCATCCTCAATGTTCCCATCCCCATACAATATTCATGATGGTGAGGTCAGTGTGGTAATGGGGGAGCAGCGCCGCTCAGATTGCATGTGCATATTCAGATATAAAGCATTTCCTCTATCAAGCCAATGAATCTTGAAGAATTTGTGGCCAAAATAACAGAAACATGTTTATTGTATATCACTGCTGTCGGAACAAAACATTGTATCGCCAAAACAGTAAATTTACAGGAGAAGGAAAAAACATACTTTACTTTTAATGTAAGTCAATGGAACCAGACTTTTTTCCAAGTCATTCTGGGTTATTTCTTTTGGTCCATTTATCATAAAATTTACATACAATGTAAAAATCAAAATGCATTTTCAAATTATGTCAACCACTGAAAAACGACAAAAATAGAGATACCAGGTTTTTGCTGTTGGATAACATAATTTGACAACATCAGCTGCTTTTTATATTGGAAATTTATAGTTATTTCATGAGGAACAGACCAATAGAAATGCTCCAAACTTACTTTGAATGAACCGTTGTTACATTAACTTACACTGAGTCAAGAATGTTCTTTCCTGTTTCGGTGAAGTTACTCTTTCAGACAGGTTTATGTTCCAACAGTGATGGTATACGCTGCATTTACATTCGTGGCATTTGTTCAATCATGGTACAGAGGTGAGTGAATGTAGCATTAGGAGTCTTACCCAAGGACTCTTACTGGTATAACATGGTGTACTTGCCTGAGCAGGGAATTGAACCTGAGCCTGCTACGTGGAGGACAGAGGTGTTACCTACTACACTATACAGTACAGACATCTACTTATGCTTTACAAGCATGCTCCAGTACCCAAAAATAGGTCTGCTTCAAAAAAAATAAAATATTCATTAAAAAGTTTAGACTAATAAGAACATTGGGCCTCATTCATCAATATTGTCCTACGCTTTTTCTTAAATTTGTTGTTGAGAAAGTCCTAAGAAAAAGTCTACGTCAGATTCATGACGTGTTCTTTAAGCGCAGGACTGTTCTCACCTTTGTGCTCCTGAGTGTGTGTAGATTCTGTTCTTAACCAAGAACAAATCCCAAATAAGAAAACACTGATGAATGTCAGAATCTTCTTAAAACTGCGCAAGTGGGTTTCTTCTTAAGAACGGTTGGTGAATGAGGCCCATTGTTGTTGCGGTGACCGTGGTGGTCCCACCTGCTAAGCTGTCCCTCCTGATGTCATCCTATCAAGGTGATGTGTTTAGTTACTGCAGTGAGAGCCTCTCAACTTCTTTGACAACTCAGTTTATTTAAGACGTTATTTCATAGAGTGATGTTAGCAAACTTTAGCCAGTTAAACAGCATGTCGAAAGGAGCACAGCATGTTGCATAGCTACTTGTTAGCTATATTAGCTTCGTTGCTGCAATGAAGCAAACTGTTAATGAGTAAATTCAGATGCTTTACGTTGCACCCATTGCTGACACAGGCATTCAGCTATGCACTCACAGCTTGTATATCTCGATAGCACTGATCAATAGAATGGGATGTTCTGGAGCAGCAGCACATGAGCCTGAGGTCTCCATGCCCAATGCCAAGCGTGGGCTAGAGGGGTATAAAGCCCCCCAGCATTGGGCTGTGGAGCAGTGGAACTGTGTTCTCTGGAGTGATGGAGCTCCATCCAATAAGTCTGGGATGAGTTGAAGTGATCCAGAACTGACCACCCAACATCAGTACCTGACCTCACTAACGCTCAATCAAATCCTCACAGCAATGTTCCAACATCTAGTGTAAAGCCTTCTCAAAAGAGTAGAGGCTGTTACTGCAGCAAAGGAGGACAAACTCACTATTAATACCATTCATTTCAGAAGAAACACTGGTGTCTACACACTTTTCGACACACTATATATCAGTGAGGGAATTAACCTACTTTATACTCAGATCCACTCAAGCCATTTACAGTGTCTTCCTAAATCTACAGGTTTCATTTCATTGTGTTTTATGGTTTCAGCTCCTGCACTGGGTTGCACCACGTTTGCGTAAGTTTATACTTAAGTTTGTGTGTATATATATATATCGCTGTTATATATATATTGTATCTTACATTGTGTGTAAATAAATGGACAAAAAGATATGGCCCAAAAAGAAATGGCCCAAAGTCTGATTCCATTGACTTGCATTAAAAGTAAGGTAGGTTTTTTCCTTCTCCTGTGAAGTTACCATTTTGGAGATATATATATATCCTTTAGATATGTATTTCTTACCCTAGATCCGATTCAAAATGGGCTGTTTTTTTAACACCTAAGTTTCTGTATATGGACTGAACGGTGTGATTTTGTTCACATATAATATCAAAGTCTAAATAAAAAAAAGCCATAACAAATGGGCTTTCCATGATAAGGAGCCTTTAATAATACTTCTTTAACCTTAAAAAGGAGGGTCTGACACTGTGATACTATAGTGCTAGCTGTGGAAATTGTGTCTGCTTTGCTGTGCACAGATCTGCACTGTGAAAGTCAGAGGCACTCAGGAGGCTGAAGAGCTTTCTCTTCCTAAACGGTTCCATACAGAGATACTCTCTGATCTTTAGTGCCTTTTTCTGTCACTCCCACTTCACTCTCTCTGCTATTTTGGGCTGTGACGGAGGGAAGCCGCAGCGAGAGCAGTGCACAGACACGCAGCGGTCCTTGGGCCTCTCCTGTGACGGAGAGGATGTGTGTCAGGGACGCTGCTGAAAAGACACTGCGTCCTGCGCTGCACCGAGTCGTTACACACACGCGCACAGTGCTGAGCGCAGTGTTTGTTCGGCTGCTGCAGCAGCGCATGGAGTGCAGTCCGTCCTGCAGCTTCCGCACATTCACATCTACTGAGGCACTGATCAGGATCTGCAATGAAATACTCGTCTACAGCACCACTCTATCCCTCTCCCTCCTCTCTCTCTCTTTCTCACACACACACACACACTCTCTCTCTCTCTCTCTCTCTCTCTGGTGAGTCACTGTAAGCTCAGGCCACTGGCTGCCCCCTGGGAGCCAAAGAATCTACTGGCCTCCTTATCAATGCATGCGTGTGAGGGAGAGAAAGAATGACAAAAAAAAACAAGAGAGAGAAAGAAAGAGAGGGACGGAGGAGAAATGAAAGGTAGAAACAGGGACAAAAGGAAATGAGGAAGGATAAAAGAAAGAGAGAGAGAGAGAGAGAGAAAGAGAGAGAGAGACTAGTTGTCTTTTAGATAACACATGGAATATGATCGAGTCAAAACCATCACCATCATGATCACTACATCACTCCACTAACATCATCACCATCATCACCGTCCTATCTTCACCATCAGCATAATCTCCATCTCAGTCTCTCTATCTCAATTGCCGTCATTACCATCACTACTTCACTGTCATCAGCATCATCATCACTAACATCATCCTCACCATAATCACTGTGATCATCACACATTATCACCACCATTTTCATCATGTTATCACCATCACAACTGCAATCAGTATCACTACTCCACCATAAACACTCATCACCATAACTATCACAATCTTCCTGACTTCACTATTGCATTTATCACTGTCACAACTGCAATCACTATCACTACTCCACCATAAACAATCATCACCATTACTATGACAAACATTACTGCCATCACTATCGCAATTATCGGCATCACAATTGCAATCACTATCACTCCTCCACCATAAACACTCATCACCATAACTATTACAATCTTTACTGCCGTCGCCGTCACAGTTATCATCACAATCATCACAACCACTGCTATCATGTCACAATCACAACCATCATCACAGTCATCACTGCCATCGCTATCACATTAATCCATTATCACAACCATCACCACCACAATCATCATCACAATCATCATAACCATCATCAACACAATCCTCATCATTGCAACCATTATCATAATCATCACAACCATCACAATACTCATAATCACAATTATCACAACAAATCAACACCCCAATCCTCATCAGTCATCACTACCACAATCATCGTAATCACATCATCACAATAATCATCACATTATCACAATCATCACCACAGTATCCTCATCACCACAATCACAATCATCATCCCCATCACAACAATCACCACCGTCACCTCATCACTACTCCACCTTCAGCAACTTATTACTCCACTCCCATCACCACCAGTATCACATTATCAGCACTATCGCCACCGTCTCTCTCTCTCTCTCTCTCTCTCTCTCGTGCAGAATGTGTGGAGTCCGGTGTTTATCTCAGAGGAGCGCAGCTGATCTACTGTGTGTGAGAGCGCGAGGCGCTGCAGTCCCGGAGCATCAGCACCGTCCAGGCGGGAAAACGAAGAAGACTGAGCGGGCTTACCGGAGAGAGGTGGGCCGGGGTGTCCGCGCGCTGCTGGAGCTCCTCTGTCCGCCTCGAGAATCCTTCGCACGTATACGAGTTTAGCGACGCCCGCTGAAAACTGAACAGCCGAGAGAGAGAAAGAGAGGATGAACGCTTCTCTCGCGCAGTCGCGTGCTAGTGTATGTGCGCGAGTCCCTCTGCAGTTTCAGCTCGAGAGAGTCTGGCCCTCCTCTGACGTCAGCGCATTCCAGCTCAGCCGCGCGCTTAAAGAGAGAGAGAGAGAGAGAGAGAGAGAGAGAGAGAGAGAGAGAGAGAGAGAGAGAGAGAATGTTTGTGGAAGAAAAAAGAAGGTTATGCAACCAGACTAAAGTTAAACAGAGGAAGAGAATAAGAATGAGAGAGAGAGAATAAGAGAGAGAGAGAATAAAAGAGAGAGAATAAGAGAGAGAGAGAGAGAGAATAAGAGAGAGAGAGAGAGAGAGAGCGAGTATAAGAGAGAGAGCGAGAGTATAAGAGAGAGAGAGAATAAGAGAGAGAGAGAGAGAGAGAGAGAGAGAGAGCGAGTATAAGAGAGAGAGCGAGAGTATAAGAAAGAGAGAGAGAGAGAATAAGAGAGAGAGAGAGAGAACAATACAGAGGGAAATCATTCCATCATTCTTTCTGCAGTTTAACTTAAATAAATGTCAGAGAGAGCTGAAGATGATGATGAAGATGACACTGATGATGATGATGAACAGGATCCCAGGATCCTGGGAACAGGACTAAAGAAACAGCCCAATGTTTTTTTCTCAAAACACTTTTTTCTGATTCTGTTTTTTAACACAGTGTTGGTGTTTGTGTCTCCTCCCTACCCAAACCAGCAAATGTTTTGGATGCTGGTATGTTGGTCAACCAGCATGACTGTGCTGGGTGACCAGCTAAATCAGCACAAACCAGATTAGACCAGCAGGGAATGCAGCTGGTCTGAGCTGTTTTTTCAGCAGGGATGGACTCCATGGGGCATAAAACCGCGTCCACTTTTGGCTTTTAAATGGTTTTACACAGCCGTAAGCCTAAAAATAGTTCAGTGACGTCACTTCCCTGGGTTATTGTGTGTATTATGACTGAGTATTGAATATGTTCACAGAAGACAACTGCTCTTTAAATTTCAGCTTGAAGGATGGTTCTCTGGCTGCATTAGCTTCAGTTACCTTCACCTAAAAAAACAAGAAAGTGGAAAATGATGATGAACAACACACAAACGCACAGCACACTACCCACAACATTCAGACGAGAGAAGAGCAGCAAACAAGTCTGTTCTGTTCCTCCCCAGGCCTCACCAGAAGATCTGATATTAACCCTTGTGTGGTGTTCAGGCCTTTTCAATGTTCACCAGAAGAAAAAATGATGTGATTTATTATTATTTCAACCTCAGATTTCTTGGCCTTTGTTCATTTTCTGTGAAGAACATATAAAATAACCCATTTTCAGTGTCTTCACTCTGTTCACCCCCCTCACATTTATAATACACGTGGTGTTGGGGTGAACCCGCAGGGGGGGAAAAGTGTGGAGGTGCTGTGTACCTCACTCTGTTGCCTCCCTTACATGGCCTGCTGTTAGTGTGTGTGTGTGTGTTTGAGGGTGGAAAACATGGACAGGCTGCTGACTGGCTACAGCTGCTAAAGGAGAACCTATGCTGGACATTTGTGATATTTTAAAGATCTGGTATTTTTACATTAATTGTTATGGCTGTATCGATTTAATAAACAATAATGTGGTGGGTCAGCCAGAGTAACAAATACATCAACACCACACAAGGGTTAAGGTATATAAGGTATAAACAGCAGAACAGCTGAAGAATAGCTCACTGCTGCATTAGTCACACTATAAATCTGTATGCATTGTCCTGCAAAAGAGCCACAGCCAAACTGGACTGGAAGATTGGCAACTAAAAATCCTCTGTTTTAGCTGGAAAACCATAAACAGCAAATAAACAAAGTGTGCCAGATAATTATATCCTCACAGCAGCGTAGTGTTGCACACTGAGTTTTCGCAAAACAGCAGATAACTGGCTGAGGTTGACTGGTATGTGCAGCAACATTTAGCCAAGCAGCTAACCTAGCAGAAAGCAAGCTGGCTAACTGGTCTACCTTTAATAGAAAAATAACAAAGTAAAGATAGTTATTCCATCTAATGCAGTCTAGTGTATCGTTCAGCCTCTCTTTTATGTGTTCCTTTATAGCCTTTGATATAAATTTAGGATCGGCTGCCATATGAAGCCTCGACCCTTCAGAGGTTAGAGTAGCCAAATCAGTAGCGCTGCTGGCTGAGGAAGCAAATTCATGTCAAAGTTCACAAAAGTTGAAATGGACCCACATTTTATGCTACATTTATTCACTCTGGAAACCTGTGATGATGAATTCCATTGAAATGAATCAGTTTTGCGAGCAAAATTTCAGTGACCGGACCTTTACTGCTAAAAAGATGGTTCTTCAAGGGTTCTTTAGTAAAGACCATGGTTCTACATAGAACCATGAACACTCAAAGTTTCTTGCATGGTTCTTTGCATGGTGAAAGGTTCTTCACATTGATAGAGAATGGTGCTGTAGATGGTTCTATGTAGAACTTTTTTGAAGAAAGTTCCATATAGCACCAAACAGGTTCTTCTATTGTTACAAGCTTGACATCGTAACAATAGAAGGTCCCTTTTTGGTGCTACATAGAACCCTTTTCAAAAAGGTTCTACACAGAACCATCTATAGCACCATCCTCCATCAGTCTAAAGCCCCATTTCATGATGCAAAGAACCATTAAATCATTCAAAGGGGTTTTTTTGAGTGTTCCTGGTTCTTTCTAGAATCATTTTCTTTGCTAAAGAACCCTTGAAGAACCATCTCTTTTAAGAGTGTAGATTAGAGTTTCTGTGCCCCATGGACGTCTAAAGGAGCTCATTTTTGCACGATGTCTTACTGTAGAAGCACATGTTCCCCCCATTCAAAGTGATTTCAAAACTCTCTGAAAACTGAACAAAATCTTTTTGATGGAAAAATGTTGAACTATGTTGAACTACTTCTTTAAAATAGGCCGACATGCTTCCCTCACACCCCATTCTAAAGCAGTTCTCATCAGTCCTGACAGACTGACTGACAGACAGACTGAGAGACAGACAGACAGTAGGTTAAACACAGACTGAGAGTGGGGGCCTTTATGTGGGATAAAAGTCTCGGTCACTGATGTTAGCTGTCCGGAACAGAACATTCCTGACGTTCTGGATCACGAGGAACAGTTGATCAGGATTCTGAACACACACTCCGCTCCCTCCTGCACTCTGAGGAGCTGAACACACACACACACACACACACACGCACACACACAAACACACACACACACACAATGTGTGTGACTGGCAGGCCGTGCTTGAACCAAAGAGAGAGAGAGATGACATCAGAATTCATCTGAACAAAGAGAGAGAGAGGGAGCGAGAGAGAGAGAGAGAGAGAGAGAGAGAGAGAGAGAGAGAGAGAGAGAGACTGTGTGCTTTTTGTCTCTCTCTCTTCTGTTTCTGACCCCGAGACACTCAAACAAGCTAACAAACCGCCGTACAGCCGCACAAAAGAACAAAAGGAGAGCAAACGTCTGACCTCACAATGATTCAGTTCAAACAGGATTCTTTATGAAAGGATTCAGTACGATATAATCTCAAATATCACCACATTCAATTATTTTAATAAAACTTATTAAAATTACTCTGAATACATAACTGTGACTGGAGGAACTATTTACATGGGGGGGGGGACAATAAAAAAATATATATTTCAAGCTATTTATTTATTTATTTATTTATGTGTGTATGTATGTATGTATGTAGGGGGGGCATTTAAAACGGGCTTTGAAATGTTCTACTATTTTGATGATGATGGTGATGATGAATATTATTATTATTATTATTGCTAGATGGTGAATGAAGAGGGAAGGGAAATAGCAAAAGTTACTGCTAAGATTAAGTGACCCTTATCAGTCCCACAACAGGGAAATTTCACCTCCACATTTTAACCCACCTGTGCAGTGAAACACCACATACACACTAGGGGCAGTGAGCGCAGAGCGGTGGGCAGCCCTATCCACAGCACCTGGGGAGCAGTTGGGGGTTAGGTGCTTTGCTCAGGGGCACTTCAGTCGCTCAGGGGATCAAACCGGCGACGTTTTGGTCACAAGGCTGGTTCACTAACCTCCAGCCCACAACTGCCCCCAGAAGCTTGAAAAAAGAAAGGAAGTCAACCCTAAAAATCCACCTTAAAGCAGTTGTAGTTTTTCAGAAGTTCCAAGATTCATCCTGAGTAGAAGATTCTCCTAGTCTGGCTGGGTGTCGTTTTAATTTTAATTTCATCAGATATCAACTTAAGACTGAATAATAACACCTTAGGTGCTAATTTTAATATTAATTACACTTAATATTAACATCATCTTCATCAGAAGGCTAAATATTTCAGAGAACTCCGCCTGTAAACAGACCTTATGAGTTTATTATGTACTTTCTCCGTCCATGTCTATCTTGTCGACATTTTTCCAAGTTTGGTACTGATACTTGAAATAATACACCCTCCATACACTTTATCAGAAACTCCTCTCCTGTAGCTCCACTTTGCTGTTGCACAGCTAAAGTCTGTAGCTCATCTGTTAAAGTGCAGTTTGTGTTAGTCGTCCTCTAGTCCTTCAACAACAGACCACAGAGCCGCTCTTGTCTGGATATTTTTGGGTGGTAATCAACTCTCAACGACTCACACCATGTTAGTGTCACCGCTCTGGAGCACCACCCAAACACTATCTGGACAACAGAGGTCCTGTGGTCAGAAACTGACCAATGATGAGTGGTGTAGAGGGGGCTGATAAATTGTGCAGCAGCAGATGTACTACAGTCTGTAACTGTACACCAACATCTGGCATATCAAAGTGCTGTAGAGGTTAGCGTTTATCATCTAATGCTCTGAACTCAGTTCATGAAGGGTTTGCTGATTAGCTGATGAGGTGAATCAGGTGTGTTTAATGAGGCAGTTTGCAGTATTTTGGCCCACGAGGACTGGAGTCTGACACGCGACTTACATAGTGGAGCTATGAGGTAGGTGTTTCTAATAAAGTGTCCAGTTAGTGGAAGCAGAAGGGAGGTGTTTCTAATAAAGTGGCCAGTGAGTGGAATCAAAAGGTAGGTGTTTCTAATAAAGTGGCCAGTGAGTGGAATCAAAAGGTAGGTGTTTCTAATAAAGTGGCCAGTGAGTGGAAGCAAAAGGTAGGTGTTTCTAATAAAGTGGCCAGTGAGTGGAAGCAGAAGAGAGGTGTTTCTAATAAAGTGGCCAGTGAGTGGAAGCAGAAGGTAGGTGTTTCTAATAAAGTGGCCAGTGGGTGGAAGCAGAAGGTGGGTGTTTCTAATAAAGTGGCCAGTGAGTGGAAGCAGAAGGTGGGTGTTTCTAATAAAGTGGCCAGTGGGTGGAAGCAGAAGGTGGCTGTTTCTAATAAAGTGGCCAGTGAGTGGAAGCAGAAGGTGGGTGTTTCTAATAAAGTGGCCAGTGAGTCAGGAAAGTTAATAAATTATAAAACTACAAAATTACAAAACTAAAAGAATGTTTTTCCTGTTTGATCATATCGTCGCTTTCCAAAGGAAAACAAGTATCTCCAAAATATTATCTGTACAGATAAGGACAAAAACTTTCTTAACTTTCAATGCAAGTTAATGTAAAAATCCTTTTTTGGATTATTTTTATTGGTCCATTCATCATGAAATGTTCACTCTTGAGTTCAAATGATGTAGAAAAGTAAAAATCAGAAAAAATGGAGATGTTTTTCTTTGGACAGCGACGACATTTTCTTCTTCTTATCGTTATTATTATTGCTGTAAAGCTGATCTGTAGAGCACTGTGATGTCCATGATTAGGTCTGTTATCGTAACTTTAGTCTGTATTCCGGTCCACATGAGCACAGTCTTTCCCCGGTTAAAGACAGACAGGGAAAGGCTTTCTCCCTCAGGGAGGCCAGTGACGTTAGTGGCCGAGAATATGGGAGTTACTATGGGAACCACTTCCGCAACCAGCTGAGTCAGAGTGCGCAGGTTAGAGCTCATCATCACAGAGTCATCAGGAGGAGAGGAGCTGGAGTTCATCAACAGCCAACACACACTTTCATCTCTCAGCTCATAACTGACCAACGTTTATAGATCAGAGATTAGTGAGGGCTAAGAGTTTGCTTAGAGGCATTAAAATGTGCACATACAGTTCAAATAGAATAAAATAGAATAGAATAGAATACAATAGACTAGAATAGATGTGCACAATCACACTAAGAATAGAACTGAACTGAATGTACGCACTTAGAATTGAATAGAATAACATTTGAACACACTATAGAATAAAATAGAACAATCTACAATAGAATAGAAAATCTCACAGACATAGAATAGAATAATGTGAACGCACAGAATAGAATAGAACTGAGTTTATGCACGAACATTTAAGTTGAGTTTAAGTTGAGAGACACACATAAGAATAGAAAACATTGGCAGATACTTAGAATAAAATATTCTAGTTTATACGCACACAAAAGAGTAGAATGGAATAATCTAGAACAGAATTTGTTCACACACAGACATTTGAATAGAATTACATACAACAGAATAGATGTGCACACACAATAGAATAGAATAGAGTGTTCACACTTAGAGCTGAATACAATATAGAATAGAATAGATGTGCACACAAAATAGATCTGAGTCTGCACAAACTCTTAGAGCTGAATAGAATAGAATAGAATTTGTGCACACAAAGTACAACAGAATAGAATAGAACAGAATTGATGTGCAAACACAATAGAATATAATAGACTGTTCACACTTAGAGCTGAACATAATATAGAATAGAATAGAATAGAATAGAATAGATGTGCACACACTTTAAATAGAACTGAGTCTCTGCAGAAACTCTTAGAGCTGAATAGAATAGATGTGCACACACAATAGAATAGAATAGAACTGAGTCTGTTCACATAGAACTAAATAGAATAGAATAGAATAGAACAGACCAGGTGTCCAAGCCTAAAATATAGTTAATGGAATAAAACTACAAATATATTCAAGTCACTTATTTGTATGTACTTACAATAGAATATACATCAAACTGTCTGTGCTGTGATAGTACAGTGATAAATAGGCCTATAGTACTGATAATACAGCAGCAGACTAGCGTTAATACAGCACATTCAATAATAATATAAATACAGCAGCGTTTCAGGCAGATACAGCGCTGATTATACACTACAATACCAGCAGTGCAGAATGTGTGGCTGTAAACGACACCAGCATCAATCAGTCAATCAATCAACCTTTATTTAATCTCGGAGAACATTGGGGGTGCCCATCCTTTACAATGTTGCCGAGTTAATACAGAGCAAGGGGACTGATAATGTGTAACATATCAAATAATAAAAATAAATTTAATAAATGAAGATTAATAAATGAAGATTCAGATCAAGTAAGTATGAGAAGTGAAACATTAATAATAAAGATACATAAAAATATAATAAAAAATAATAAAACAGTAATTAAAACATACATAAAATGTAAAGGTTGATAAAATTAAATCAAAATAAAACAAGAGGAATATAAGATAAAAAAATTACTAATAAACAAATGTATTAAAATGACAAATAATAATAAAATAATAAGTAAAATAAGAATAAGAATGTGAATAATAATGGATAAGATAACAAATAAATAATAAAATAATGAAAATAAGATAAAAATGGTTAAAAAAATCAGGTAAAACAGTTGCAGGCAGAGTGGAGTGGAGGCGTCACTGCAGCACTGTTTCTGATTCCTGGTCTGGAGCCCAAAACTCACAGGGTCACCACCACACGGGCTCCTGCAGTCCACTAACCACCATCTGCTTAGGTCTGTATGTAAATTCCAGGCCTCGTTCACCTTCACAGTGTGGCCGCAGCCCTGACGGCAGGTTGATTAGAGCCTGATGAAGCGCCAGAGGAGGACTGTTTGTTAGGCTCACAGTCACAGCTGGGAAATATTTTTGTTTGGTTGTGTTTAAAAGACTGAAGAAGTCAAACAAACAAATAAGAGAAATATCTGAGGCAGTTTGCAGGCTTACAGGCCTTGCAGGCAACTGGAGATTTACACTGGTTTTCCACAACAGCTCTCCTGACCAGACACGTGGTAATAGCTCCACCTTGTGGACCAACTGGGTACAACTATTACTCAGGAACACTAAATATGTCTGTTTCTAATTCTTGTTCTACCAGTTAAATTGTGTGTATCACTTAAAGACACTATAATATCTAACTAGTAGATACAACAGTCATTCTATTCTATTCTATTCTATTCTATTCTATTCTATTCTATTCTATTCTATTCTTGCTGCTTTTTCTTTACGCCCAAATTAACTATTATAATTATCGTAGATATTTTGCCTCTGTGCTTGATTATTTTCTGATTATGAACCATGATTAAAGGGTTCTTTCCATGGTGAAATGATTCATCAGATTGGTGGTGAATGTGCTGCAGATGGTTCTATGTAGAACCTTTTTAAAAAAGTGTTCTACATAGCACCAAAAAGGGTGCTTCTGTTGTTACAGGCTTGACATCGTAATAATAGAAGAACTCGTTTTGGTGCTAAACAGAACCTTTTCAAAAAGGTTCTATATAGAACCATCTGCAGCACATTCTCCATCAATCTGAAGAACCTTTTCATGATGCAAAGAACCCTTTAATCATGCAAAGGGTTCTTGGAGTGTTCATGGTTCCAAATAGAACCATTTTCTTTACTAAAGAACTCTTGAAGAGCCATCATTTTTTATTGTATACAGCTTTTAAAATAAAATACAATTTTAAGCAAGTTGCCTACAGGTCTTTTCAAAAAGGTTCTATATAGAACCATATACAGCACATTCTCCATCGATCTGAAGAACCTTTTCAAAAAGGTCCTATATAGAACCGTATACAGCACAGTCTCCATCAATCTGAAGAGCCTTTTCAAAAAGGTTCTATATAGAACCGTATACAGCACAGTCTCCATCAATCTGAAGAACCTTTTCAAAAAGGTTCTATATAGAACCGTATACAGCACAGTCTCCATCAATCTGAAGAACCTTTTCAAAAAGGTTCTATATAGAACCATCTACAGCACATTCTCCAAAAATCTGAAGAACCTTTTCAAAAAGGTTCTATATAGAACCATCTACAGCACATTCTCCAACAATCTGAAGAACCTTTTCAAAAAGGTTCTATATAGAACCATCTACAGCACATTCTCCAACAATCTGAAGAACCTTTTCAAAAAGGTTCTATATAGAACCATCTACAGCACATTCTCCATCAATCTGAACAACCTTTTCATGATGCAAAAAACCCTTTAATCATGCAGTTTCTTTGAGTGTTCGTGGTTCCACATAGAACCATTTTCTTTACTAAAGAACCCTTGAAGAACCATCATTTTTATTTATACAGCTTTTAAAATAAAATACAAGTTGAATCAAGTTGCCTACAGGTCGAAAAATCCCTACACAGTAACCAAATAAGGGCTTCTCCCTACATAGTGCACTGAGAGTCCACTAGAGCGCCGATTGGAACACGGCCCACAGTGCAGGGGGCGGGGCTAAGGGAGCAGCGCTGATCCCGGAAGGGCACGTGTGCTATGCTCGGTGTGGAGAGCAAGGGAGCTGGTGGTGGTTGATGGTTTGAGGACAGTGCGGAGGTTTCCAGCTGCGGACCGATGGCCAGCGCTCTGCTCAGATCAGCCCTGCGGAGAAAACCTCCTCTACAGCCCGCAGGAGCGGACAGGAGGCGCTACAGCCACAGAGTAAGAGTTCATACTGAGAGGAGTTGTTGTTGTTGTTGTTGTTGTTGTGGTGGCCAGTCCTGATTCATTCTGTTTAGCAGTAATGCAAGAGGAGAAGCACTAAAGCAGGGTTTCTCAACCACTGGCCCGAGGACCACAAGTGGGCTGCGAAGCACCCCTTGGTGGTCCTTGGACCCATACTGAGGGGGGCGGTGGTCCGTAGTGGGCTTGTGATGGTACTTTGTCCTAAAAATCAGTGAAAAAATAATTGACTTAACAAAAAAAGTAAATAAAATGTTTTCAAACAGTTAACAACATTAATACAGGCCCCACAGTAACAGAGCACCAAGGCAGCTTCAGTTTTCTTGCCCTTTGCCTCTAGAAACACCTGACCAATCAGTTGTCCACACCAATATTCTGTTGCTGTTTCATGTTCACTGATACACATCACATATTGCAAGAGCAGCCCCCCACAAATCACTGTGACATGGCTGAGAACCCCTGCACTGAAGGTCGAGGGTCAGAGTGCCATTAGAGTCCACACCTGTTTGTACCTTGTGTTAGACATCTGCTTCTATGTGTTTCTCAAGCTTGTGTGCATTCAGAGTTCATTAGGAACGTAGTGCATTTTTTTTTTCTATTGCACGTGCCCAGTCCTGGTCCTGGAGATCCCTGGTCCCCATTTCCAAAAAAGGTTGGAACGCTGCACAGAATGTAAATAATACAGAGCCATGCTGTTGTAATACATGCAGAATGTGGTTTGACATTGTCTTGCTGAAATAATCAAGGCCTTCCCTGAAAAAGACGTCCTCTGGATGGCAGCATATGTTGCCAAAACATATATATATATATATATATATATATATCATTCAGCATTAATGTTGCCTTCACAGATGTGCACGTCACCCATGCCATGTGCACTAATGCCCCCCTATACCATCATGAATACTGGCTTTTGAACTGTGCACTGATAACAAGCTGAGTGGTCTTTAGCCCGGAGGACACAGTGTCCATGATTTACAAAAAGAATTTAAATGGTTGATTCGTCGGACCACAGGACACTTTTCCACTTCGCCTCAGTCCATTTTAAATGAGCTCGGGCCCAGAGAAGGTGGCAGCATTTCTGTGTCCTGTATATAGTTGGTTTCATTTTTGCATTTTAGAGTTTTAACTTGCATTTGTGGAAGCAGTGATGAACTGTGTTCACAGACAGTGGTTTTCAGAAGTGTTTTTGAGCCCATACAGTGATTTCCACTACAGAATCGTGGCTGTTTTTAATGCAGTGCCGCCTGAAAGCCCAAAGATCACGGCCAGCAAATGGCCTTACACCTTGCATACAGAGATTTGTTGGCCCCGTCCCAACTTTTTTGGAATGTGTTGTTGGCATCAAATTCAAAATGGGCATATATTTTACAAAAAACAATAAAATTTCATTTGATTTGTTGTCTTTATACTATTTTCAATGAAATATAGGGCACAAATGATTTGCACATCATTGCATTTTGTTTTTATTTACATTTTGCACAGCGTCCCAACTTTTTTGGAAATGGGGTTGTACCATCCTGCAGAGGTTAGCCCCATCTCTAATCTAGCACACCACCCAATACACGTACTGAAGACCTCCAGGAGCATCTGAACAATAGAGAACATTATGTGTTGTGTCTGTGAACATTCTGTGAATATTATGTCTTGGATCTGAACTTTCCAGGGTGGTAGATCTCCAGTACCAGGTTTGAGCCCACCGATATAGACAGTCACTGAAGATCCATCTCAGATATTACTAAATTAAAGTTGTATTAACACTGTATTTGTACTGTAATACTGTATTTTACTACAACAGTGTATTTATACTATAACACTGTACTTAACTATAGAAAATGTACCATCACAGTAGGTGCCATGATGAAGAATAAGGGACACCGTTGAAGCCTTTAGAAAGGCTGATCATTTGTTGTTTTCTCTATATTTGATAGGGTGGGTCCGTCCAGCGTGTCCACTCATCGCAAAATAGATAAAGCAGTTGTGATGCTTTTTTCAGTATTCACAGTAATATTGTGTAAATAACTGTTACAAATCTGGTGTTATATGGCAGCCAGTTTAGCCTGAAATATTCCACCCTGTCAGTCACAATTTCAGTGTGATGTGGGTTATAATTATTTTTATTTTGCACAAATATGTAAAAATGGGGAAATCTGTTTTTGGTTAAGAGCAAATGGTCTATTTGGCAGCCATCTCCTGTAATGACAGACAGACGCTATTATCGGACGCTTCTGAATTATCTTACAGTGTCCTGCTTTTCTGAGAAATCCTGATGTTATCCTCACAATACGCTTTTCTAAGTCTATGGCCGGGATGGCTATCGCTTCTACTGCACAGACCATAAAACAGACAGATTTACACCATTTATAGAGAAAGCCTGTAAACAACTACAACCAGTGCAGAGTAACTGCATAAACTGCTGATTGGATGTCAGCCCACTGTGACATCATCTTATTTCATTCAGTTATTTACCGGCGGTTCCCTTTTCTTCTTAAATAATTTATTTTTGTAAACTCTGTATTAAAAAACATTAAACTCCTAGTTTTTCATAGTCTGTTTCACATGCGTGAGGCTCCAGTCCTCACGGGCCAAAACACTGCAGACTTCAGCACACTGTCTCATTAAACTCACCTGATTCAGCTCATCAGCTAATTAGCAAGGCCTTCATGAGCTGACTTCAGAGCATTAGATGAGGTCTAATCTACGCAGCACTTTGGCCTGGAAGGTCCCCAGTTTGACATTCCTGGCCTATTTAGATCTAAATATTATAACCCTTATTTGTGATGCAGACCAACGTCGGACCAGAATAAATTAACATCTACTTCTGTTGTTTTCAGTTTGCTGGTAATGGTGCATCCTTAAACCCCCAGCAGTTGTGATTTGCTTATGATCTTAGTCATGATCTTTTCTTGGCCTTTTACTTGATCTTGGTCAGTTACAATATAAAAACCTGATGTTGTTTGGCAGCAGGTGGAGACCTGTAGGTTTAGCTCTCTTTAGCTGCCTCTGAAATTAGAGACATAGTGCCCTACATGTTGTGTCAGTCTTGTCGTAGTATTGCCTGAATTCTTAATGGTGATTCTTTGGTCAGCCCATGGTCATCCTACAGCTAGTTCACTGTATAGTAAACACTGTGTAGCGAATAGTGAATGAGTTAATAAGTAAACCGTTCTGAACACAGTGCTGGACTCCTGTAGTCCCCCTGTCCTGCGCATTATAGTGTGGCGCAGTGGTTGCCAGCTCCAGTCCTGTCTGCTCTTATCCTGAACAGTTCCAGTGAAATAATCGATAAAAACAGAAGGGAAACATCAGGGCCTTCTAGGACCGTGCCTTCCGTAGCAAAATCATCTTCATGCATGACAATGCACCATCTCATGCTGCAAAGAATACCTCTGTGTCATTGGCTGCTATGGGCATAAAAGGAGAGAAACTCATGGTGTGGCCACCATCCTCCGCTGACCTCAACCCTATTGAGAACCTTTGGAGTGTCCTCAAGCCAAAGATCTATGAGGGTGGAAGTCCCTTCACATCAAAACAGCAGCTCTGGGAGGCTATTCTGACATCCTGCAAAGAAATTCAAGCAGAAACTCTCCAAAAACTCACAAGTTCAATGGATGCAAGAATTGTGAAGGTGATATCATAGAAGGGGTCCTATGTTAACATGTAACTTGGCCTGTTAAGATGTTTTTGATTGAAATAGCTTTTGATTTCAGCAAATGTAACCTCTTAATGCTGCAAATTCAACAAATGACCATTTTCAGTTCTTTACAATCTATAAAATGTTTCGAAACTGTTGTGCATAATAATTTGGAACAGTGCTTTTTGAGTTTTTTTTATTTTTGAAAAAATACTGTTGTCATTGGGAGGTTTGTTCAATAAAATTCGATTTATACTCTAAAGGTTGATGACTTTAAAATTATACTGACTGTCATTTGCATCGACCATTTAGGAAAATCAGAAAAAAATATCGTTTGCATAATAATTTGGAACGTGGTGTAGTGTTATAGAAGTTCTCTTGATTCCCAAAACATATTTAGAAAACTGTACCATGATGTAATTCATCACAGTAACGATAACAGACCATCATACTGCCCACCTCAAGTCATCAGCTCACCTGAACCAGGTATTCAGGGTTGTTGATTGTTTGGTTGTTTTACTGTTTGTTGATAAATATTGGAGCTGTGATTTGCTGCTTTTCTGTGTGTTCCCTGCAGAGTGGAGCCCTCGAGCGGGCAATAGCAGCGTTCCGCTCGGTCAGCGGGGATGAAGGTGTGAGTCTGGGTGAAGCGGTCAGGGAACAGCACGGGAGGGACGAGTCTGTGCACAAGTGAGACTTCTTACTCAGTCCTGTTCCTGTAGACCTCTGAAGTCATTCTGTAGTCGGAGTCATGCGCATATTGGGAACCCTTGTTTATTTTCTCAGTGAGAAAAATGAATGGCGTTCTCAAAAACTGCCGCTGTTGCGTCCTGTGGAAAACAAAAAGGCTCCAAAGCTGACACTTTGCCCTTTTTTCTCATCAGTGTCACTGGATCCTCTGAAATATGAGGTCATTTAGGTGCTGAAATATGAATTATGCTACATACATGCTACAAGCAAGCTAACGCTCCTTCACACCGTAATGATGTCAAGTCAAGTCAAAGGTTATTTATATAGCGCTTTTTACAACAGGTGTCGTCACAAAGCAGCACTACAGAAAAAAAAATCCGGGTCCGAGCCCCCATGAGCGTCACCGGTGGCAACAGTGGCAAGGAAAAACTTCCTAAGAGCAAAGAGGAAGAAACCTTGAGAGGAACCAAGACTCAAAAGGGGAACCCATCCTCCTCTGGTCGACACCAGATAGCAAACAGTGTTAGTATAAAATATTAGAATACAAAACGGGGAAAAACAGGTGGAGCAATGGTTAATTAGATAGTTTGAGTTTATGCAGCAGCAGGAGGGTCAGATCATGAGGGTGAGGTTTGCACAGCTTTGTACAGCATGAAGCTCCATGGTGGTCAAAACTGTGCAGATCAGCCAACAGAGATGGAGCTCTTGTGAATCTAGAAGCTCTAGTGGCTCCCATGTGGCAGACATCGCTCAGGGGCTCAAATAAAGGGAGGGAGAGAGAGAGAGAGTGAAAGAGAGAGAGAGAGAGAAAGAGAGAGAGAAAGAGAGATAGAGAGATAGAGGGATAGATAGATAGATTAGCATGACAAGCTCCTTGGTGTTCCACAAATTATCCATCAAGCGAGGAGGACAGTCATCAGCTCATCAGCAGAGAAGATAGAAGGAGACAGAGCAAGACAGAGGCAAACAATTTGTAAGTTAAGTCCGTTTATGGAGAGATATTAGAGAGTAATAGTACAAACAACTGATTTTAGCAAAATGCTCGTGCAAAAACACAGGTTTTCAGTCTAGTTTTCCTATGTAGGGGCTACGTAGGAAGATGCTCAACCACCAGCTGTGGTTTTTCTAATTCTAGAAGCGTCATCAGGCTGCGATTTTGTGAGTGCAGCGTACGTGTGGGTTTGTATGACTGAATTAATTCACTAAGATGCTGCAGGGCCATTTAATGATTTATACGTTAAGAGAAGGATCTTATACTCTACACGAGATTTAACAGGTAGCCAGTTTGGGAATAAATGGTTATACTTTTTGGTCCTTGTAAGGACTCTCAGCTGCATTCTGGACCAGTTGGAGCTTATTTAGTAACAAATTGGAGCATCCAGCTAAAAGGGTGTTACAGTAGTGATGTCGCATGAAAGTAAGTCTACTATTAAACTTCAGCACTTTTATATAATATTATAACACCAGCTACTCAAACTGTAGCCACCTACAGCCACACTGCCTCCAAACTATCACGTTTGACAAAGCTTGCTGGGGTATTTTGGTGAGGTTGCCAGTCTTATGCTGTCATTTAAGTGCGCAGCAATGTTAGCTTGCATGTAGCTTGCATTGTGGTATTCTGACCACAAACTGGTGCACGACTTCGGAGGTCCATCTGAGAGGTCAGTTTTGCAGCGATGGCTCTAGTTTTACACAATTAATTGAACAGCATTTCGTTCTGTTGTGTCAGGTGTCGTCCCCCAGATGTCGTGGTGTTCCCCCGCTGTGTGGAGGAGGTCAGCGCTCTGGCCAAAATCTGCCACCAACACCAATTACCCATCATCCCCTTTGGCACAGGAACAGGCCTAGAGGGAGGAGTGGGGGCTCTGAAAGTGAGTGAGAGTTCAGGGGGAGTCCTGTCAGGACCAGGGAAGAGACACAGACCAAAACAACAACAAAGGCACATGGCTTAGAGAAACAACAAAACAAAGGCTGAAACATGAAAAGGTTATGAAATTATTAGTAATTATTAAGTTGAAAAATAATGCTATTTGGTCATAAAGCTGGTTTATGACATACAGTGCACTACAGAGAGGAGGGGGCACAATTTAGTTTTTGCTATATAATTTTTAAGCATTTGAGGAAGAATGGTTTACATTCTGTACATCTGAGCTACAAATCAAAATCAACAATCCAGTCAAAAGAGTGCAAATAACTGAGAGGCTAGAAAAATCCAATTAAACAGTACAAACACAGTTAATTTAATACAGTTCTGTGTTGTTTGAACCAGAGAGTTGATGCATAAGAAGCTTATAAAATGAACTGTTTTGAATTTCTATGAGGAGTTTTCTTGTGGAGCCTGACTAGCTGTCATATAACTGAAAATTAGGGCTGGGCAATATGACAATACACATCATTTTCATGATCAATTATGTCACAATACAATACAATATGCTTTTCTACGTATTGTGGATATCATCAGTAATTGTAGAGCACTGACCAACTGCATGTTTCATTATGAAGAGAACAAAATTAGTCCTTTTTAACTGTATTTAGTGCCAAATATTAAATAAAAATCAGTGTATTCACAGTTTTTGATAGTAATTTTTAAAAATGTAGCACTACTGTTTTTTTTTTTCTCTGTTCCAACTGATCAGATATCTAAAAAAAAATAAATATTGTGGCATGTTGTGTATCATAAAAAATTTCTTGAAGTATCGCAATATTATATTTTTGCCGTATCGCCCACCTCTATTCATGGCACACCTCAGTAATCCTGTAAAAAGTTACTTATATGGTCCAAAAATTGTCTTTATTGCCAACCTGGATAAATATCTGTCTCTCTCTGCTGTGGAAATTTACAGATGAGGTTGCTGTGGAAATAAGGGGAGACCTAAAGCATGTTCTGCTAGAACCTATTTAACTAGATAAAAACGTTAGACTGTGCCTACTAACACTAGTGCAGGAGCAAAACGCATGGTCAGTGGAGATTACCTGTTGAAAATAACTTTTTGCTTAAGACTAGATTTTAATCTTCGTCTCTGACTACAACCTAAATGACCTTCACCCTATACACTGTGTACATGCACACAGATTTGTCTGGGATATTATGTACGTTTATAAGCATAATTATAAGCAGATGATACGTCACTCAGAGAGTAAAGGTGCAGTCTCTTCGATTTTAGATGTGCAGAGTCGGTCATATTTGATATGAAGCTGAAGGAGAGATGATCATAAGTTGCAGGTGAAGTGAATCTGTGTGTGTTTGTCTCTGAGGGCGGAGTGTGTTTCAGCCTGAGGAACATGGATGAGGTGCTGGACCTTCACCAGGAGGACTTTGATGTGACCGTGGAGCCGGGCGTCACCCGAAAAGCTCTGAACTCCTACCTGAGGGACACGGGGCTGTGGTTTCCTGTAGGTGAGTTCCACTACAGCACTGACAGGCTTTATACACACAGACTCAGCCAGTACAGGTTCTCAGTCCAGCACCTTTTAAGCCTTGGTTAAGGATTAAGATGTGTCTGGAGAATCCTGAAGAGATTTAATTGGCCCAGAGTGCAAGAAAGTAGAGATCTGCACTCCTGCCGGTTCCTGCTGGACCCGCAGGACCCACCACAATATCTTGCGACGCGGGACTAATTTTCAGTGTTGCGCGCAGGAGTGGACGGGAAACCAGCCCACTGCAGGCGGGAGCAGGCCAAAGCACACATGAAGGGAAATCACGGAAATTAAAGAATAACCTAAATCATGTAGACCGATCACTAAATCACATATATAACAATAAAAAATGATAACAGTAAAACAAATAAAATGAATGAAGTCATTCTAAAGAGTTGCGAAGCAGCTGATCCTGAGAACAACACGCAAATCCTCATATCTTACAGAGACGGCGGAGCGTTCAGTCCGACGGCCACAGCTGCACAGTAAAACCGATATAACCGTTCTGTGGTTTAATTGCTGCTTGGTGTTTACTGGGAATAAATGCCGTTTGGTGAAGTTACTCCATAGTGAGTCTGATGACCATGACTGCTGTGTTATTTCAGCACAGGATAACATATTTGTGAATAGACTGTGTCAGACATTGGATATCAGTTCACCTTGACAAAACTGCGCAAACGGACGCGGGCCAAAACATTTAAGTCACGGGCAGGAGTGGGACAAAGGATTCTGCTTTTCTGCGGGAGTGGGCGGGAGCGGGATGAAATCTTGCGGGAGTGTGCAGGAGTGAAACTGCAAAAAACAGTCACACGCAGACCTCTGCAAGAAAGCTCTTGGTTTCTCCAGCCTTGCATATCGTTCATCTTGTTTATCCTCCCACCAGCTAGTCAGCACTCAGCAGATGCATTTCTGCTTATGTAATTATATGTGGATATTAGGGTTGGGTGGTATAACAGTAATAAGGTATACTGCGATATTAGGGGTGGGAATCTCTAGGCACCTCACGATTCGATTCGATTACGATTCAGAGGGCTGCGATGCGATTATAAAACGATTATTGATGCATCTCGATGCATTTTTTTTTCTATACATGATTTCTATTTTCTTACTGTCTGACGACTTTGTAGGTTTAAAACAAAGTATTTGTAATGATCCATAATGAATTTACATCCAATATCTTTTATTAATAAGACAAATGGAAATGATGTGGCAAGTGAACTAGAAGACTCTCATTCACTGCTCTTGTTTGGAGACGCTGCTGCTACTCATCTGTGATAAAATGCACTGTTACGGTGAAATAAGATAAGTGGTAAGGGATGTCCACGCAGCACATTGTATACGTAGTAACGAGGTTTCGCCGAGCGAGTAGCGAACGAAAAAGGAAAAGAGAAAAACAGACGAACATTTGGAGATGAATAGACTTATTCACATTTATAAGCAGCGCAGTTGGTTTCCTGGTACGTTAAATCTGCAACGAGAGGTGCGAATATGAAGTCGCTTCTCTTTCTAATTTTCCCGTTCCACCTTAAATGGTGCTGCTTTTACATTCGGCGCCTCAGTCAGAATTTAAGGTGGAACGGGAAAGTTCAGCAAGAAGCTGGCGAATGAGAAGCGACTTCAGCCTCGTAAAACAGCGGAAAGCTGACAGACATTTTACAAGAAACTAATCAACTTTTGAGGAAAAGTTTTCTGGCGGAGTTGGAGGAAAGCGGCTGTAGCTGAAGCTTAAAGCAGAGCGAAGTAAGTCCGCATTTTCGTTTATACTGTTTAGCTAAACTAGCACATCATCACATACTGGACATTAAATGTTGCGGCTCCCAAGCTGGTTTGATTTTTGTTGAAAGGACAAAATGGCTCTTCTTATCGTTTGTGTTGTGACTCCTGACCTAACCTGGCTTTAATGCAGAGGGAGCCGGACGGATTTCTCGTTCATCCAGTGGTGTTTTTGTTGTGTGCCGCCACAGACTGTCCGGGCGCTGCACTTACCCACTTCCAAGTTCCGCCTTTTGCGTTCCGTCAACGTTACGTTATAAATTAAATATTTAGAAAATCGATTTTTGACATTTATGAATCGATTCAGAATCGTCCATGTCTGCATTGCGATGCATCTAAGAATCGTTTTTTTCCCACACCCCAATGCGATATTAAGAAAAAGATGATGGTTTTTCAAATGATGACGTGTCAAATTTCTATTTCACATCTGAACGGCCAAATAAACACATTTCACCCATTTATATTTTAGAGGTCACTGATTGGTGGTGTGGGAGCTCACCGATTGGTGGTGCTGATAGAAAGAGGGGAAAAATCAGAGGCAGGAAAACCTCAGAAAAACAATGCATGATAGCAGCTCAACGACAGCTTAGAGCTACACTCGCCACAAAACACACTCAATTTCAGCTTTCACTCATCAGTCACTCGACCCTGCACTCTCAGATATCCTCTAAATGGCACCAGGTAGCTGGAACCAAGCTTGTGCTGTGGTGCGTGGCATGTTTGGCCTGCTAACTAAGTTATTATTAGCTTTCTGCCCCTCCAACTCCGCTCCCTCGACTTTATGACTCTCTGATGTTAGTTTTTATCTTGTGCACTTGGTTCAGCAGAGCTGATTGATGTAAGGTCTGAAGCCCTCTGGATGTGCTCAGCTACAAAAAAAGACGAAGGTACATGGAAAACAGTAGTGGCCTTCTTGAAGCCTAACGTTTTCACTGTACTTTAGTCCATGTTTATAGGTAACAGTGTTTCATACAGTGTCAGAAACCACATGAGCAAGTCAGCTCCATAGGGTTTGAAGTCTGTGATGGTTTTAGATTACAGTTAGCGCAGCGCTAATGAGTGTAGTATAAGCTCCTGTCACTTTCATTGCATTCAGATGCAGGAGTTAAGCAGACGGAGATGTATGTGCTCTGAATTGATCGCGCTGTGATGCGATCACTGTAAGCGGATCAGGGAGGATGAGTATCGACACAGCTGATGTGTTTTCAGACCCAGGCGCTGATGCATCTCTCTGTGGGATGGCGGCCACCAGCGCGTCCGGCACCAACGCGGTCCGCTACGGCACCATGCGGGAGAACGTCCTGAACCTGGAGGTGGTGCTGGCGGACGGCAGCGTCTTCCACACTGCAGGCAGGGGGCGCCGACCAAGGTACATCACCATAGCAACACACCAATGAACTTTAACCTGTTCAGGTGATAAAGAGACGTATCTCAGTACAGAAGTCTGCAGAATGATGAATATAGTACTGCTGTCCTCAGAGTGGGGAGCGGAGGTGATGCACTGACCAGGATTAAAATAATGCATATTGGGATTTTAATGGGTTTTATAATTTCACTACAAATATATGGTGGTCATTTTATGTATTGTGTGATCTGTGTTGCCCCCTAAACTTCAACTATATTCCATTTCACTAGTTAACTGCTAAATATATTTTAAAAACATACAAAAAATTATATACGACACCTATTTTAAAAGTCTAAATCAACTGACTTACATGAATAGATTTATGAATTTAATATTTAATATTTATTATAATAATTAAAAATAAAATCTACAATAATTAATAATAATTATAGTGAATATAATAGTCATTTAAGAATGGTACATCATTTAAATTATATATTTTAATATTTTAATTTGAAAGTGAAAGCCATCTAGTTAAAGGGGAATTCCACCAATTTTTCAAATGTTCTACATACTTCAGTTGTTAAGATTGAGCTTACCGATGTCTTTACAGTGGTGGTGATAGGAACCAGGGGTCACCTTGTCTGCAACACAAATATGGCCATTTTATTCACTATTCAAAACCACCGGTGGACCTACATGTGTCTTCTGAGTTTTTGTATGTCATGTTGATGATGATAAAATAGGGATAAATCTGGAAAAAAATTTATTTTGCCTCACAGCGCTGCAGATTTATACTATTTCATGTAATTTTCTGTGAGGGAGCTTTTAGAGGCACTTCTGACTCTAACATTTTCTAAAACAGAACATTTTGCATCAAACCACTCTGAACGACTTTAACTGTTAAACCATTTGATTACCTTAACCATTTAATTATGCAGAAATTTTGAATTATTAATGGAGTGCCCCTTTGGAGTGAAGAACAGCCCTCCTCTCTCTCTGTCTGTAGGAAGACTTCAGCAGGTTTTAATCTGACCAATCTGTTTGTGGGTTCGGAGGGAACTCTGGGTATTCTGACGAAGGCGACTCTGAGGCTGTATGGAATCCCGGAGAGCATGGTGTCCGCTGTGTGCTCCTTCCCCTCCGTCCAGGCTGCGGTGGACAGCACGGTTCAGGTGCTGCAGGCAGGAGTGCCCATCGCCCGCATCGGTGAGAAGCAGGGGGTGATAGACCTTCAAACAACATATAGCTACTAGCGATGTTTCAGAATATGAATACATTATTAAAAGTAGAAAAAATAATAGATTTGATCCAAATGTTGAATAGATGATTTATAATAGTCTTATAATAATGCACTAATACTCTTATATAAATACACACACTATATGGACAAAAGTACTGAGGCACCCTTCCTAATTACTGAGTTCAGGTGTTTCAGCCACACTCATTGCTAACAGGTGGATTAAAATTAAGCACGTAGCCTTGCAGTCTCGACAGACAAACATTGGCAGTAGAGGGTCGTGCTGATGAGCTCAGTGACTCTAAACATGACACTGTCATAGGATGCCACCTCTGCCACAAGTCAGTTTGTGAAATTTCTGTCCTGCTAGATCTGCCCCAGACAACTGTAAGTGCTGGTATTGTGAAATGGAAGCGCCTAGGAACAACAACAGCTCAGCCAAGCGGTAGACCATGTAAACTAAAAGAGCAGGGCGCTGAGCGCTGAAGCACACAGTGCCTATCCTCTGTTGAATCACTCACTAAAGAGTTCCAAACTGCCTCTGGAAGCAACATCAGCTGAAGAACTACAAGTTAGGAGCTTCACGAAATGGGTTTCCATGGATGAGCAGCTACACACAAGATCAAAATGCACAACGCCAAGTGTCAGATGGAGTGGTGTGAAGCGCCGCCACTGGACTCTGAAGCAACGGATACGCATTCTCTGGAGTGATGAATCAAATTCTCTATCTGTCAGTCTGATGGACGAGTCTGGGTTTGGTGAATGCCAGGAGAACGTTACCTGCCTGACTGCTCTGTGCCAGCTGTAAAGTTTGGTGGAGGAGGGATGATGATATGGGGCTGTTTTTCAGGGGTTGGTCTAGAACCCTTAGTTCCAGTGAAGGGAAATCTTAATGCTTCAGCACCAAGACATTTTGGACAACTGTATGTTTCCAACTCTGTGGAACAGTTTGGGGAAGAACCTTTCCTGTTCCAGCATGACGGAGACCCAGTGCACAAAGCAGCTCCATAAAGGCCTGACTGGGTGAGTTTGGTGTGGAAGAACTTGACTGGCCCTCACAGAGCCCTGACCTCAACCCCATCCAACACCTTTAGGATGAACTAGAATGGAGATTGTGACCCAGGCCCTCTCGTCCAACATCAGTGTCTGACCTCTTAAATGCTCTTCTGGATGAACAGGCAAAAATTCCCACAGACACTCTCCAACATCTTGTAGAAAGATTCCCAGAAGAGTGGAAGCTGTTAGAGCTGCAATAATGACTATGGATTTAGAATGGGATGTCAGGCATATTTATTTATTATTATATTTTATTACATTAACTTGACTTATTTTTAAGTTATTGTTGTAGATAAAGCTCACACTAAAATGTTTCTACTGGTTTCCTCTAACAGAGTTTGTAGTCAGTAAATATACCCCATACGTCCAGCACCATGTCTAATTGAAGATGCACCTACTTCTGATTTGTTTACAAATACAAACACCAATAGTTTTATCTGTTGAACAGAAACAAGCAGCAGAGTCTCTGAACAATCCTATAGGCTACATTTATAATTTATCCAAAGTGTCTTACACTCACTCACTACAGCGTCACTGCGGTAACACAGGGATTAGTGTCTTTCTCAGGAGCTCAGTGCCAGTAGCCTTAAGCTGGGATTAAATCCATGATCTCTTCAGTCATGGTCAGGTTCTCTGACCACCTTCGCCATGACCACATGGACGTTAGCAATGACAAGAAAGCCAACTCTTCCCAAAACTACAGATGCACTGATGGGAATTGCAGGCTGATTTATATATTTCAGTATTTTTCATGTACACATCTGCTGATTCAGAGACATAAGCACTTATAAAATGTAGAAATCAGGCCTAAATCTACTAATTCTGCATTAGCACTACAAAAAAATATGAAAAAATGAAAATTCAGGACAAATTCAGCCAAAAACCAAAACAAAGGGTTATTTTTTATATAATTTTATTTGTGCTAGTCATAATTTCGACACTGCAAAAGTTGCTATATTGGAAAGGACAACTGAGAGAACTAGAGTACTAGTTTAATTTCTAATAGTTTGCAAAATAAAATTAGGTATTAAATGATAATATAATACTTCATGGTTTTACAATTGCATGTAAAGTCAAATTCCAGATTGACTCCATTATAAAGATGGAAAACATCTCATTTTGTTTCATCTGTAATGCACCCGAACTCCAGCCTAGCAGTCTGGAGTTTCTCCACCGGGGGCGCTATTAGCACACAAGTCACCTCAGGTCATCAAGATCGTCATTTAAAGAAGAAAGAGCTATAAACCTCAGCAGGATCAAACAAACAGAACTTTCAAAATCAGAGGGATGAAAGTTTATTACCAAAAGATATTGAGTTGCTCAGTATTATTAATGTGTTAATTATTAACTGTTGATCTGCTGCCCAAACTATTAGAACAGATCTGTGCTGATCGGTGTAGGAGATCGAAGAAAACACTGTTTTTAATAATAATAGTAATAATAACTGCCCTGCGATGGACTGGCAACCTGTCCAGGGTGTATCCTGCCTTCCGCCTAGTGACAGCTGGGATAGGCTCCAGCACCCCACCGTGACCCAGAAGGATAAGCGGTTTAGATGATGTATGTATAATAACTTTATTTATATATTTATTTAATACTCATTGTTTTTCATTTTGATTACCATTCAAATTATTTATTTAAGATTATATTTTGACTATTTCATCTTTAGCTTCTTTTGGCCAGAATGGTCAGCCTTTTTTTCTTTTGTTTGAAAACTGAAAGAGCCACGTTCCACCATTTTCAGCTGGAAATTTTCGGTGGATGAAATTTTTGCCGCATGGTTAAATTGAATGAAATGCAGATGTTGTGGCACAGTAGCTCAGCATCACTTAAACTTTCTGGTCTCACTATCACTCAAATGTCAGCATCTCCTGGCACAGATATGACTTAGATATTATTGTGCCTCTCTACCCAAAACATTCAGTTCCTCGTCTTTAAATTAAATAGTAAGAAAATCAGTGTTTTGCATTGTTAGATGTTTTTTTTAATGGAGCTCTGCTTTAATCGATCAGCCGGCAGGTATGACTAATGTACTGCAGGTGTGTGGCTTATCTAGGAGCAGTACAAAGTCTAACACAGTCAGGGGAACTGAAGAAAATGCAAGATTTGCAGTTTCTCACATTAATGTACAGTAATGCACAGCACAGTGCTGTTTACAGCTGACCGTCCAGCCCAGAGTTTAGAAAACAAACACCACTCTGCAGCTCCTGAAGTCAGCCTGAACTGTGTTCATGTTCCTGGTCATATTAAGCACAATTCATCATATTATATCATTAAAAAGACTGATTTCTTGTTTTCCTGTAATCTTCCATCTAAATGTAATGACTTTTGCCCCATCTATAAAACCTTCCCCTCCCACCTGTCTTGGAGAGAAAACGCTCGGGACCCTCCCTGATACCCTGTTTCACTCAGTTACATCACAGCATGGAAGGAGAACGAGTTATGATTGTTCAGTCATGTTTAATTCTGCTCCTGGGAATCTACAGCCCTTCAGTTTCATCTGTTTCCAACACCCTCGTCAACTAATTCCGAAACCCTTAATGAACTGGACAGTGGGCTGGTGGATTTAAACATTTTTATAATAAAAGCATTGTGGTGACCCTGCGTCCTGCGTGGTCACCAGCACATTTGCTTTCTCTAGTGAATCCATGTGGCCAACTGTAAATGTGTTGCTGCTGTTTATTAGAGTGAGTGTTGTTGTTAGTTGTTATTAGCTGTTGATGGATCACAGTGTAAAATATTAAAAATGTTAATGTGATACTAACATTTAACACAGGGGTCACAACTCCAATGTTAAGAAGAGCCATTTTGTCCTTTCAACAAAAATCAAACCAAATGTCTCAGTATGTGCTGATGTGCTGGTTTAGGCTAAAAATATAAACAAAAACTGCGCTGCTTTAAGCTTTAGCTCAGTTATAGCTGCTTTTCTCACATCTCCGGCAGGAAACTTTTCCTCAAAAGTAGAACAGTTTCTTGTAAAATGTCTCTTAACTTTCTACTTTTTACGAGGCTGAAGTCGCTTCTCATTCACCACCAGATTCACCAGACCCCTCAGTTTACATGAAGACAGGAGAATTTTGGTGAGATACATTTATTGGCCATTGGAAAAGTATTTACAAGACATACTTTGTACATGTATATTTTGTACCCACAAGAGCAAGATTAACCTACTTAGAAAGAACACGCAGATTTAGGTTCTTTAGAGTGCTGCATTTCTCTGGCCTTTAGGCCTCTAGCTAGCCACAGTCCTTGTTACAGTCAAGGTGCAAAATACAGGGGATCCTATGGGGTCCAGTACCCCCTAATTAATCTCTTGGACCCTCTGAATGTCTCAAAATCAAAAGTTAGGGGGTCCCTGAAAACAAACTTATTATGACTTTATGCTGTCCATTAGGGAACAATAAACTCTCAGATACAAAAACAGGGAAAGCTCATTGTTTAGCTATTTCACCCACAATCAGCTTCTGTCTTTGGTATTCTTGACTATAGATGCCGCTCTAGTCTGCCTCAGGGTGGCGCTGTAGCACATTAGTTCACTCAGTTGGCCCTTCATGGCCTAGCAACTGTAACTATGCCCAGGATACCAGAGAACTTGTAGAGAGGAGAATCACCGCTCTCTAATGTCTTCCATGTTTCTCAAACGCTAGAGGGCGCTCCTGAGTGAGTCCAAAATGACTGGGTTGATATGGAGCCTTTGAGCAAAATCATAGTTTATAAATGCTGAAACATTTTTAATGTAAAAGAATCCAATCATAACCTGAACACAGAACAGCATAAACACATATTAACACTACTGTTATATTTTTAAGAGCTTTTAAACTCGAGTTATAAGAGTTTAAAATGGCGCCTCATGTACGTTCATGATGTCATTGAGCACAAATAGCCAATGAGCTGCTCCACTTGCCAACCAATCAGCACTCAGTAGCAGTAATGTTAGCGTCGTGCTGCCCAAAACCCGTTTGCTGTAGAAAAAAGGAAACATACAGGTTATGTTTTCTTTGCTTTTGTTAGTGAAATACATCCTTCTACTCTCTAAAACTAAAGGATTAGAAACTATTTTAACTTTTCGTTTTTAGCCGTTGAGCTCCATTCACCCCCATTCATTGAGGACTCGTTCACAGGCGTCCTCTAGCGTTTTGCAGTATATGCAGTATAGTTGATATAATGGAGGAAATAAGAAGTGGCCAGGCTCCTCATAAATCGGCTCTGAGGAAACCTCTGAAAACCTTTACAGTATACCGCAGCATATTTGTAAATCTGAAAACTCGCTCAGTTTCCCCAGAGTTTGGTAGAAAGAGTGAATTATTACTCTTTATTTTTTTAAACCAGAGACAGAAGAGGAGATGAGTGAAATCTCAGTTAATGTGTGAAGACACAAACTAGAAAAGAGCATTTTCAGAAGAATTATTACATCAATCAGCACCGCTATGATGAATGAGTTAGTAGCCAGCCAGTGTTGCAGAAGCCAGCCACCATGGGACCCCCGAATACCAGGCTGCACTCTACAGTGCTGTAATTCAGAGCAAGCTAATGAAAAGTATCTCCATTGGATCAGAATGATTTCTAGTCCAGCCTCTTCCTTGCAGATGTTGCAGAGTACCTCATTATAGATTAGCATAGCGATCAAGCTTCCGAGTGTCGTAGGTCAGTATAATGATCTGTTAATGCTGCTGTCCTGTGTTTCAGAGTTTCTGGACGATGTGATGATTGGAGCGTGTAATCGTTTCAACTCGCTCTCCTATCCGGTGACACCCACCCTGTTTCTGGAGTTCCACGGCAGCTCCAAGAGCTTAGAGGAGCAGGTGTCCATCACAGGTGTGTGTGTGTGCCAGTGCTGCATTGTTTATTGTACTGTAGCTTTAGAGTGGACTGAAATGAGTAGTGATGCATGTCGGCTTGTGTGTCAAATAATTGTGTGTCAGAGATTCCACACATCCATAAAAAGTCTTAGAGAAGGTTTTAGAAATGTAAGATCAAGTGTTTCATTTTTAATTACGTTAGGCATTAAATTCTGAGATGCCTAAAGAGTCATCATGTATATTAAACCTGTTCAGAATATCCCTCCAACCATAAATATCCAGCCCACAGCAGATCTGTGGTCAGAGATTGACCACCGATGAAGGGTTAGAGGACAGCGAACACACTGAAAAGACGGTGTAAGTAAGAGAGAGAGCAGTAGATCTTGATAGGGGAACAGAAGAGGGCCAGTGACCAGGATATCGTGTTATGCATAAATCTCAAAACTTGTATCCATGTTTGATTTTTTTTAACCAGTCTGTTTAAATAAAATAAGCAATGAGAGATCAACACTAAGCAGAGTAAAAAGCCTGTGATAAAATCACTGTAATGTGCAGCCTTGAGTGGCTTATTGCTTTCACGACATGGCAGACAGCATAAAATATGATAAAATACACAATGTTTCAATAAATAATTTGTTTTTATTAATATTAGTAACTATTAACCATTATTCTACCATGAAATGTAGTTCATTCACAAGGTCATTGTTGCTAAGCAACTGCTGAAGGAGCACAAGGACGTTCAGTCACCCGTCAATGTAAATGCTCATTCCATGAACTTTAACTTTTCTCATATAATAAATAACACTGTTTAATGCTTTATAAATAGTTTCTGTTCAACAGATTACCACCACGACTGCAATGCTAATTTCCATTAGCACCTCTATGTGATTTCCAGCCTTATTTAGCATCTAGCTAAAAGTGTTTATACATCCTTCTGCACACTATGTTGGAAGGAGGGAGGCGTTTGAGATTCAGCCTGGGTTTGATGCTGCTTACGGCAGAACTTACACAGACATCAGGCTGATCAGCCTGGTTCTAGTTAAGAAACGTTTGAACAGAACTGGGTTCTTCATCAGTTCACTCGGTGGTCCATTTGAGCAGCATTACAGTCAAGAGGTTCTTCCTTTGGTCAGGTGGTCATAGCTGTGCCTATATTGAGTGTTTTACAACTTTGAACTTGGCTCAGCCAAAACATTTTAAAACCAGAATTATTTTAAAAATAAGTGAATACATTAATACATGGCATATTTTTAAGTTTGTGTGATGTTGTGAAGTCTGTAAAAGGTATAAAAAATCATTAAATTAAATTTAAAAGTGTGTATGTTCAGAGGAGATCACGAGGGAGAACGGCGGTTCTGACTTTGCCTGGGCGGAGGACGAGGAGACGCGGGCGCGGCTTTGGAAGGCTCGGCATGACGCCTGGTACGCTGCACAGGCACTGCGGCCGGGCTGCAAGGTGAGAACAACAACAACAGAAGTGCTACTGATCAACAGAGCTGAGAAGAAACCAGAAAATAATGTTACTATATCACTACTGTTACATTATTGTATCACGTTTATGGATAGTACGGTTACCAGCTAATAATTCTGATAACTGTCTACGATTATCAGCTTTTCTCATTATATTAACAGTACAGTAATAACACTCAAAAACCTGATCATTCTGCTCACTGGCGACAGGACAGTTTAGGGGGTCCCTGAAAATAAACTTATTATGATGTTATGCTGTCCATGGGGACAATTAGATGCTCAAATACAAACACAGGGAAAGTTCTGTCTTTGGTATTCCTGACTAACCAGAGATGCAGCACTGCTCTGCCTCAGGGTGGCGCTGTAACAGTTTAGTTCACCCAGTTGGTCCTTCATGGCCTAGCAACTGTAACTACGCCCAAGAAACCTCAGAAAAACTTTACAGTATACCGCAGCATATTTGTGTTTCTGAAAACTCGCCCAGTTTCCCAAGAGTTTGGTAGAAAGAGTGAATTATTACTCATTTCTCAAACCAAAGACAGAAGAGGAGATGAGTAAGATCTCAGTTCCTGTGTGAAGAGCGCAGTACCAAACTAGAAAAGAGCATTTTCAGAAGAACTATTAAACCAGCACCGCTATGTTGAGTGAGTTAGTAGCCAGCCAGTGTTGCAGAAGTCAGCCAACATGGGACCCCCGAATACCAGGGGGCATTTCACACACTGGCTACAGTAAAAACACCCAAAAACCTGACCATTCTGCTCACTGATGACAGGACAGGAAATCTAGGAAAAGACATTGTTTAAGAGCTGAACTGAAGCTGACTTCATAGCACATGTAGAACATTAAAGAACATATTTATAAAGCAATACTCAATTGTTTATGCACAGCTTATGATAGTGATGGCAAAGTGACGTATTTTTTTATAGTTTTATAGTTTAGTAAAAAAGAAGGCAGTTCATAAGCTCTGTGAGTTAAATTTCCCCATTTAAAACTTACGACAACGTGGTTGACAATGTGGGCTGTCGTTAAAATTACAGCTCTGTAGTGTAGTATAGTATACACTCTTCAAAAAAGATGGTTCTTCAAGGGTTTTTTACTAAAGACAGTGGTTCTGTATAGAACCATGCACAATCAAAAACCATGTGCGTGCTTAAAGGGTTCTTTGCATGGTGAAATGGTTCTTTAGATTGATGAAGAATGTGCTGTATAATTCTGTGTGGAACCTTCTTGAAAGGGTTCTGTATAGCACCAAAAAGCGTTCTGATATTGTTAAGATGTCAAGCTTGTAACACTACAGGAACCCTGTGCTACACCGGGCACAGGAAGGACACTGGAGGCAGGGCTGAAAGTTGCAGCAGCCATTTAAACTTTTTTTTTTCATGCCAAACAAACAAATCAACTCAAAACCAAAGCTGGCCACTTCTCAGAGCCAAGCTTTTTAGACCCTCGGTCTTTTCAGTTGCTCTTCCCTCCTCTCTCTCTCTCTCTCTGTTCCCTCTTTGCTATTTTTAAAAGGTGCTCACGCTGATGCTGGCTGTCATTAAGGGCAGCGTGAGCACCTGAACCGAGAGGGACAGAGAGCTCTGCCTTCCCACCACTGCCCCCGCTCCTCAGCTTGGCCACCGGGATCCAACATGAGGCACAGCCTGCCAGCCTCGCTGCGGGACAGGAGGCGGTGCCCAGGGGTTTGGGACTCGTGCAACATCCGTCACCCTACAGGTGACCTGAAATCATGTTGTTGGTTGACAAGTGACTCTTTTAGCACTGAGTCAAGTTACTGGAGCCTCCACTTTCACTCTGGTCCACACTGAGAGAATGATTAGTGTGCGAGTGTATGCGATCTTCATAAACAGGAGCAGAAAAGAAATGTGACTGACATTCTGATTGGTGATGTTTGCCCTGTTGTGCCCCCCATTCCCCACAAACTCTCTGCTCACTTTGTGGGGCACGCTGGGACGTGCACTCTTTTTCTCCATCTGCGCCCTTGTGAAAGGACTGAGTGGATGTAAGAGGGTCACTGGCTCTTTGCTGTTTGACATGTCATTAGAATACCTGCCTCTTGTGGCTGTTATCGTTCTCCTGCTCTCTCTCGTGGCTGACGGCCGTCTCCCACTGTCACTCGCAGCCTAGGCGTGCAAGGCTCGGGCACTGCTTTCCCGCCCTCTCTGGCGGGCTGTCATTATTGCCCATGGGTCAGGCAACTGGTAGAGTGCTATATAGACCCATTATCAAAAAAGTTCTACACAGAATTATATAAAACACATTCTCCATCAATCTGAAGACCCATTTCAGCATCTAAAGAACCCTTTAAGCATGCAAATGGTTTTGAGTGTTCATGGTTCTATACAGTCTTTAGTCTTTACTAAAGAACCCTTGAGTGAAGCCTTCAGTGAAAATGTGCTGGTTACAGTGGCTTCACCAGCCCAGACACCTTCTACAGCGGACTGGACCTGCAGCTCTTCTCTCTCTCGCTCTCGCTCTGCAGGCGTATGCCACTGATGTCTGTGTGCCGCTGTCTCGCCTGCCTCAGATCATAGTGGAGACCAAGGAGGACCTGATGAGAAACAACCTCACAGGTACAGACTCATTATTCCAGTTCTGCCCTATAAGAGCAAATACACACTTACAAATTTAGAAATTATTCTGCACAGAATCACCCAGATTCACTAATCATGTGAATCCATCCTAGTCTTGGGCTAGAAGGTCAGGTAGAGGTTTAAATCTCTGACCGATGATTTGATTTGATTATTATTCTCAAATCTCACATTTTTGTTGTGATTTTATTATTTTGATGTCAGAATGAGTTTGAGAATGAGATATTTACAAAGTAGTGAAGCTTTATTTAAATTCAAAAATAGCTTGAATTTTATTTTAGCCAGAAAGGGCAAGTTTGATGGAATATTATTATACGTGAATGAGACGGCACGATACCAATATTAAAACTTTGAGTATCGGCTGATACACATTAGCCCTTGTGTGGTGTTGATGTGTTTGTTACTCAGTGGTCTGGTGGACCCACCACATTATTGTTATTTAAATCAATACAGCCATAAAAATCAATGTAAAAATACCAGATGTTTAAAATATCACGAGTGGTGTAGAGTTTTCACCAGTGTAGGGTTCTCCTTTAGCAGCTGTAGCCAGTCAGCAGCCTGTCCATGTTGTCCACCCTCACACACACAGACACATATACAAACACATACACACACAGACACACACACTAACAGCAGGCCATGTAGGAGGAGAACAGAGTGAAGGACACAGCACCTCCACACTTTTACTCCCCGCAGGTTCACCCAACACCACATGTGTAATATAAATGTGTGGGGGGTGAACAGAGTGACGTCACTGAAAATGGGTTATTTTATATGTTCTTCACAGAAAATGAGCAAAGACCAAAAATCTCAGGTTGAAATAATAATAAATCGCGTCATTTGTTATTTTGGTAAACACTGAAAATGGGTCCCACAGACCTGAACACCACACAAGGGTTAAATATTTTTCTTTCAAATCTACTAAGCTTTGAAATTAGCTATTTGTAAATAAAGCACTTCACTTAAAGGGGAACTCACAGCGAACCACTCTGAATGATTTTGTTAACATCAAAACCATTGAATGATGGGAGTAATTTTGCAAAATCGGTGGACTTCCCCTTTAAGATGATGATCTAAAAGTAGTCTGTGATGCTGAAACTATTCAGCCGCTCTGTTAACCCCAGGGGCAGAACAACACAGCTAATGACATCACACAGTGTGAGTGCTGTTTCAGGATAGATCTGGTACAGGATTGGATCATATTCTTTCTTTTTCCCGTTCTGATATCCCCTCCAGCATCTTCTGCTGATATCAGTGTGATACTGACACCTGGCGTCAGATCTGTCGTCTTTAACAATGGAATATAATCAGATGTAATATTACAAAATGGATGCAGTTGAATCTCCTCCTTCAGAGCAGTGCATTGTTGCGGTTTTACACCCCTACTGTTTGTTTTGGTGGGATGGTTTGTAATGGTGTTGTTTTTTTTTGGGTGAGGTCCTATCGCCGGTCACGTAGGAGACGGAAACTTCCACTGTATTATGGTTCTGGACCCTAACGACCCGGATGAAGTGCAGAGAGTTCACGAGTTCACAGATAGGCTGGCCAGGTCTGCACCTCCCTCCTTATCTCTCTCTTTTTCTCCATCTTTCATTGATAATTTTAGCTTGATGCTCCTCTTTTCTGTAGATTTAGTATGTTAATATGTTTCTCTTTCTGAGATCACCACAAATCAGATTTCAGAACTCCTGGCTGACCATCTCAGGTTTGCCTTATACTCCCAGGCTTGAATGTTCTTCAGTTTCTAAGGTAGAGGGGCTTTAAAGCGTCAGTGTGGCCTTTAAATGAGTGTTATGTGAAAAAGGTGCAGTTGCATTCATTTTAAACAAGACTAGGGCTGCACGATATGGGCATAAATGTATTATTTGATAAAGCTGTTCTATCTGATTATTTATTTATTTCTTTAGCTGTGTGAACAGAAATCTAACTAACCTTTCCTTTAAGCAAATGGCAAATCTAAAAAATCCATATTCAAAAATGAACCATTCACTGTTGTGCAAAATAAAAATAATCAAATACTAATAGCTACTTATATCAGAACTGCCCGCACATTTTTGTGCACTGTAAGGCTGAATGAGGACACAGTGTCACTGATGTGAAACGCTGCTTTTATGAAGCATCAAAGCTATTTGACTGCTAAAGGCGCCCCCTTGTGGACGATTTGTAGCTATTGGAACGAGAGTGGGTTCTGTGATGTGCATCAATCTAAAGACAGTCAGGTTTTCCTGACCAGCCTTGTCTATTTGTGCTGGCAGTGAGGCTACAATCACAAATATATATATATATATATATATATATATATATATATATATATATATAATATATATTATTTTCAAAATTGGCTTACAAAAACAAACATCTATATTTCGTTCATTAAAAATCTCATGATGATGCAGGTTTGTTGTAACAGTGTCATTACTGCTTCATACAGTTTACTATACAGCCTATGCATTTACTCTCACTCATCACATTTTAAGCAGTTTTACAGGCAGTTTTTAGTAGTTAGTAGATTAGTAGAGTAATTTCTGACTTCAAGCCCAGCACAGAGAAGCACTTGTTGGGCTTCTAATGTTATGTTCTACCAAATTAGTCATGTCACTTTGGCGCTGCCTGTGTGAGGTAATTTGATCTGTCATCGCAGCTCTTAACAATATGTTTATCGCAGAAACTCATATTGCGATAATGATTAGGATATCGACCAGCACTAATAAGGACGTGAATTTGTATGGTGTGTTTAACCACCAAAACCAAAAAATACAGAGACTGGAGCAAATTTGGCCCTTGATGTATCTCCACATGGGCGTATTAAATCTTTCAAACTTTGGTATTTATTACTCATATCACTGCACTCTTATCAAAATTAAGCAGTATTAGCCTTTAGCTTTAAATTAATAAAATAAAAATGAAAATATCCACATCCAGCCTGCTTGTCCAATGCATATTGCTTATCTGAGATGGTCACTCAGGAGGCTTCTGGTATTTTCATTATTTTTTTATCAATGTCATACCATGGCCAGACGAGTTTATAACATGTTTTCAGCAATCTGTCTCTCTCCCTGTGTTTATATAGGAGGGCACTGGCCATGGATGGTACCTGCACAGGTGAGCATGGTGTGGGTTTGGGGAAGCGGACCCTGCTGAGGGAGGAGTTGGGACCGCAGGCTATGGAGGTCATGCAGGGCCTGAAGGCCACACTGGACCCCAAAAACCTCATGAACCCGGGGAAGGTCCTGTAGAGGCCGAGGAGACACCAGCAGCGACTCTACCATATCCAACCACTCCAACAGTCCAGGGACGCTTTCTTACTGCACTGCAGATTAGGGCCGGATGACATGATGATATAGCATTATTATGATAAATTATACCACAGTAAGCTTCTCTAAGCACAGCTTGGGTATCGTACTTCAAGAACACTGAACAACTGCAGGTTTTGTTGAAAAAGACGTTTCAAAGGGGCTCCCAGGTAGAGTAGCTGTGGTTTCAACAGGTTTGAATACTGATTGTGCCCAAAAAAGTCAGATGACGCCTTTTTAAACGTTTCGTGCTTAAACATAAGCAGGACACGCTTCGTATGGGGCAGGGTTACGCATTCGTCTGACAAGTAGGTAAACGTGAAACCACTCTGAGAGAACACTGAGCCGATCCAAACTGAAGGTGAAAAAGGGTTTTCTATTCATTATTTCACAAGTGACATTTATAACTATAATATAAAACCCTTTTTCACGTTCAGTTTGGATTAATCTATTAGCCGAGTCAGAGTTATAAAGCAGGAGGCGGTCACTGGTTGAAATATGGCATCAGTTCATGGAGAAAGTCCCAATTCCATTTCACTCCTCGCCCCTACCACTTAACCCTTAGCCCCCTGTTTTGCGTGTTCATGTGTAGGGGTAGGGTGTCCTGATTTTTGTTGAGATAGAGGGGTAGGTCTAGGCTACATGGGCTACATGGCCCTCCAAACAGAGGTTTTTCAGAGGCAAAAAGAAAAACAGGCAAGATGGCTGCACAAGCGACCACAACCCCACAAATGTCAGAATTTTCTCTGTTAAAAATGACAGCAACCATTGTTTTATCTTAATTTAATGTCGTTTCAATGTATTATGGTCCTTTTCTTCATAACAAGCATAAAAATCACTAGTGTTGTGATGTATCAGTAGCTAAATGTCCCGTTCCACCTTAAGTGATGCAGCAGTTTTGACGCCTGAAGCGCCAGAATGCAACTGCTGCTCCATTTAAGGTGGAACGGTAATTTGAACAAGAAACTGGCGAATATCTGACTTCAGCTTCACATCACTGAAGAATTAGGGGTGGGCGTTAATAAGTAATTGCCCCCCGCTCTTCAAGGGCATATGATTCCCTAAATGTAACTAAAGCCCAGCAGTGAGGAGCTGAACTTTACCCTCCTCTGCTGTCACTGCAGACTGGCAGGGTCGCCTACAGAGCAGCACTAGTAGCTGTTAATGAAGTGATGCTCTTTTTATTTGAGGGTCCCATTTTGTATGGAAGATTTCAGCCACTACCTGTTGAAACTCAGTTCTAAGGGGCAAGGTGACACTCGAAAACAAGGGGTAAGGGTAAAAATAGTCTCGCCCTTCAAGAAAATGAGCCAGTCAGCTCACTGGTTGTGCCGCAAGTGGGGAAAAGCTGCCCCTCGTTGTCGAGACCTGCCCAAGCGCAGTAGCCAGAACAACCTGAAAAAACACGCTTTAGTGCGTTACTGAGCCAAACGCTACAAACAGTTTATGAGATTTTTGTCAGGCTTTATCAGTGATTGAAATGGTAATTTGACCTTCAGTGTTGGGTATTTTGGTCTCTCCCTATTCAGAGAGAGGAGTCTGGTCTTGAATGGCTGGAAATAACTGTCTGGTGGTGTGGCAAATATGGCCGCCGAGTGAACAGACTTTCCAGTAAGGACTTTGGCTAAGAGTTGTGCAGCTCAGGGTGTTCGAAAACTGCCAAAACTAGCTGTTTCTCCGTTAATGACTAGAAGACGTTCTCAATATTGAACGGTAGCTGTGATGATATACGGCAAATTTTATGACACTCATCAGATTTTTGGGCACTGTGGTTGTTGCTCCATTGAGAACAATGAAAAGAAGCACACGAGACAGTTTGAAAAGGCGTCGCCTGAACAGACCCTAAGAATGTAGTAGGAATGTAATTGGCCGTTTAACTGAATGCAGTGATGCAGTGTCATATAAAAGTTCTTGTATTCCTAGTTTTTGATCACATTTTTAAAAATTAATTATCGTAAAATTGTCTTCACCGCATCTCATGTTCCTACCTCTGACTGCACGGCTTTCATCCATCAGATGCCAAACTGATGCTCAGCAGGTGTGTAGTATCTAATGCCATCGTGATATAAGCTTTTCAGAAATGCGTGTGGTGCCTCCATGCGTCTGCGTGGAATGCGCTGTGACATGGCGTCTACTCAGGTTTGCCCTCACAGGTTTCATCTCAGTCCTTCCAGGCGATGAGATGAAGATCCTGTATTTCATATTCATGTGTTTCTGACCTGTAAATCTGGCTCCTCGCCGAATCAGCTCAGTTGAATTAGAACTGACCAAACGCACACAGTGTTGACCGAGCAGCTTAGCTGTCAGAGACATGAAGCTTACTGAGCTGAGTATGATCAGAGAGCTTGTACAGAGGAGAATTACCACTTTGTAATGTCTTCAAACACTAGAGGGCGCTCCTGAGCGAGTCCAAAATGAATGGGTTAATATGGAGCATTTGAGTAAAATCATAGTTTATAAATGCTTAAACCTTTTTAATATAAAGGAATACATTCATTTTAACACTGCTGTTATATATTCAAACGCTTTTAAACTCGAGTTATAGGAGTTTAAAATGGCGCCTCATGTCCATTCATGACGTCTGTGAGCGCGAACAGTCAATGAGCTGCTCCGCTTGCTGACCAGTCAGCACTCTAAACCCGTTTGCTGTAGAAAAAAGGAAACATACAGGTGTTTTCTTTGCTGTTTTAGTGAAATCCATCCTTCCACTTTCTAAAATTAAAGAAACGTTCTGGGCGAGTGATTAGAAACTATTTTAACTTTTCGTTTTTAGCCATTTAGCTCCATTCACCCCCATTCATTGAGGACTCGCTCTTGGGCGCCCTCTGCTGTTTTGCAGTCCTGTTTTTTATGTAACGGGAGAAATAGGAAGTGGCCAGGATCCTCATATGATTACATACATACAGAGTGAAGAAGATGAATACTTTTCAGAGCCACACAGCCAAGAATGTGGCGTTAACTCTGCTGCCGTTCTTCAGCATTTATGTTCTTAATACACTCCATACGCTGTACAACTCATCAACTCATGGCCTTCAAGAAGTGATAGAAGTGTAATCAGAGACACGGATGTAGCTGTGCTGAGTCTCCTAAACCGCAGTACAGCAGAATTACAGTTCAGGAGGATCATTTGAAGAAAGCACTTATATAAAACACAGCAGTGGAAAGCTGGAGTTGAATCACAGCAGCATTTTAGTGCCACATTTATAGGGATGGTTTGTTGAAGATGCATCACTTTTGGTAAAATCCTTTTTTGTTCAGTATGTTTTGAGTGTAGTTTTAATTTTTTGTGTCAGGTACATACATACAAGTATTAATGATTTTCTGATGTAATCTAGATTTAGTTTTAAAAATATTGAATTAACTGTACCTCATAATTGTAGCTCTTCGTTTGTAATTACCTCAAGTGACACATTGATTTCACGTTTGACTGGTGAGAAACATGTTTCTAGTGCATAAAGCCCACAGTGGACTGTTGTGCTGTGCAGGGCGTCTCCAGGCAGCTTCAGTTTAAATTTAATAGACTTTTTAATGAAACTTCAAATGTAATTTAGGTAAACATTCAATGTTTAATATTGCGTAGCTCACACTCACATCACTGCGTCTGTATGTATGTTAGCTCCACAGCAGGTAGTGTTAGTGTGACGCATGCCCTTGTGTTGCGACCCCATATTATTCAGTGTGTGTGATGTGACGCGAGTCGTTGGGAAGGTCAGTCCTGCCCAGTGGAGGAGAAAAATTGTCCTCATTTTCTGTTTTGGCAGCAGTGTGTGAAAGTTTTGACTTTTTACCCCAAAATAATTACTTATTTTCTCAAAATAATCAAAATAATGACGTTTCTTGAAATAATGAGTGCGATTACATGTGCTCAATAATCCGATCATAATCAGATTTCTACAGTTATCTGATTATTCAGATGGTCATCTAAACAGCATACTCTTGATCTTAGATCAGAGTAAGGTCTAGAAATCCAATTAAGAAATCTGATAAAGAGGCTGGATTTTAGCTCAGTAATCAGATTTCTCAGTTCATGTAAACTCTTACTCTGATTTCTTTCGGATTTCTCAGTCTGCACATGTGTGAAAACAGACAGTGGTACCGGAAATAAGTGAGCAGCGTCACCGCGAGACGCAGCAAAACACTTTTGGAGCGAAACCAAATACACGCTTGATGAAATAAAGGATTTAAATATTCTTCGTTCTGTTCATATTTTCAGCTAAAGTGACTCGATGTTTAAAAAGAAAAAGTGGCATTAAGTTTGAGTTTTACGTCACGTCTTCTTCTGTGAGTTTATTGGCTGGTTGTTAAGCAGAAATCTGATTACTGCCTGACTCATGTAGACCTGGAGTTTCCCCATTACCTGATTACTCAAGTGCATGTAAACACATTAATCGGATTACTGACAAAATCTGATTTTCTGCAGTTATTGGATTATTAAGTGCGTGTAAACACACTACTTCATTTGCACAACATTTCGAGAAAAGACATTATTCTGACTTATTTTCTCATAATGACATTTTCGCTGTAATGATGTATTTCCTCTAAATAATTGCTTACTTGAGAAAATAAGCCATTATTTAGAGATAAAAACTAAAAAAATAAATCTTTATTTTGGTCTTTTTACATCATCATGATTAATATGATTTTACTGTGATATAAAATCACCGAGTACCACTTACCTCCAACTGTCTGGATTTGGAAGCTTGTCCCCTCAACCGGTCAGGTGTCCAGCATTATTGCATTAAAAGGTGAAACTGTGTCGTATTTTGTCTTTTTTAATTATATATATCATTATCATTATTACTCAGCCCACAGACTGCACATCAAATTCATCAGACAATTAAGTTTGTACATCCTAAAAACAGGCATCCGTTCACATCCTTGGAAAAGAAAAAAAGAAAATTAAACATAAAAAACCCAACGAAATGGAGGAAAGCAGAAAGTGAGGGGTGTTCAGGGCGCTGAGCCCCGCTCAGGGTTTCTGCTTCCTGAGGCAGAATCGCTGTCCGTCGTTTTGATGGATGGTGTTTGTTTGCCCTCTTTTTTCCAGGCATGAAACAGAGACAACCCTCAGAAAAAAGCTCTATTTCTATCTAACAAAAGAGAATCATTCGTCAAATTGATTTTTTCCGCCACTCATGGGTTTTTTTTTGTTTTACATTTCTCACAACATGGTTCTTCTAACAGTGGATGTTCTTTATACAGCAGAGGCATCCTGGAGATTAAATAGAAGATGTGAGCTTTCTCACAGGTTTTAAAGAAAAGTAAAGGAAGATCGTAGCTCGATAGTTTCACATCGGTCTGCCTGTCCGTCCGTCCGTCCGTTTTTTTTTATTTGTTTTTTTGTTGGGTTTTTTTTTTTTTTACATCCACTCGTGAAGCAACGGTAGCTTTCCAGACACGGCCTGGCCAGTCTCGAACAGAAACGTGGGGACGTGGGCCAAAGCTCTGGCTACACGCACATATACGAAGTAAATGCACTCAAGGCCTTTACAGGGTAACTGTTTTGAATATGGTCAGCACTTCGTAATGACCGCACGCTTTCAGATGAAAAGAACAGAAGCCTATGAGTGCTTGCTTTTTTGACTCGAGGAGATATTAGACATCTACTGTAAACTGTAAACATTTGAAAAACACAACTCTGTCCTCCTCACCTTCCCAACCACACACACACACACACACACACACACACACACACACACACGCAACACAAAACACACACCTCCCCATTCCGAAACACACACACACACTCTCGCTGACTGAAATGTTCACACACCAAAAAGTGTAAACTTACATTCATCCCAAAGAACAGGTACGATTCTACACCTAACTCCGCCCCCACGCCGTCACTCCCAAATAAGGACAACATGAAGCACAAAGCCACGCCCGTCTAATTAGCATATTCACGCCTGTGGAGCTGATGGCCTTGGCCTGGTCGGTCTGTGCGGTCCCGCTTCCATCACCGTCAGCCTACAGCCCTTCATCTGTTCACCGAAAACTCCTCCTCTTCTTCCTCTCCGACAGAAAGACCAGACGAACGCAGGGATGGGTGTCGGGCCGAGCCCAGCTCCAGGGCCGGAGGGACAGAGAGCATCTAGGGGGCTAAAATCCAGCGCTGGCCGTTGAAATGAGGGGCAGTTGGCGATTCTCTAGCTAGTGTGGCAGCAGGGGGGGGTTCTGGGACTCGTGTGGACGTGACGGTGTCGGCTCGATGCCGCTGTTTTCTTTTTATTTGGTTCAGTTTCGCGATCTCCACAGGTTTGATCAAATCGATAAATAGCTTGATTGTTTTATTTGGTTAATTCAGTGTCCAGATAGCCAGGTTTAGGTCCATAAAGTGCCCTGAGAAAGAGAGAGAGAGTACATGAAAGCTGTAGTCATGCAGGGTGAGGTAATGGCTGGTGTCTCAGTGTAAATGGTGGCTGTTCTGTGTGTTCCTGACTGTGACTGATCTCTGGTGCATCCAGACAGAGATGTGGACTGTAATCATTTCACCAGTGAAATATCCTAAAACTAGAATATTTTATATTATAGAGAACAAAAAAAAAAGTTTTTGCAGTGGTTTATTCTAGAACATCCAGAACACACTTTAATTTTACTGCAAACTTACTGTTTATCTGCTGAAGTTAACTTATTGGAAAACAATAAAACATAAAATGTGGCCTGTGCAAAAGTTATGGCACATTTGATCTTGTAGGTTTTATTTTCTCATGTGTTGGTAACTCAGCAAATAAACAGAAATTGTGCACCAAAATTAGCAGAAAATGCCATATTTAGGTGTGTTGTGTATGGAAACGTGGACCAGATTTACCATCTTTTTTGTTTGAAATGAGACACAGTATCAGAAGCTTCTGTCACCACAAAAAATGATTATTTCTTTTCATTTTTTATTCCAAACTACGCATTACTTATTTATATCTATCTATATCTATATAAAATCTATACCTGCACATATGGATTGACATGGATTGACTGTGCATCTTCTATCCATATCCTGTCCAATAATTCTGGAATATATATATATATATATATATATATATATATATATATGTGTGTGTGTGTGTGTGTATATATATATATATATATATATATATATATATATACACACACACACACACACACACACACTTTATCCCTTGTGTACCCTCATTTCATTTATCTACCTACCTATAAAATCTATACCTGCACATATGGATTGACATCCTGTGCATCTTCTATCCATATCCTGTCTAATTAATCTGGAATATACATATATATATACACTCTATCCGTTGTGTACCCTGCATCTCATTTATCTACCTCAGACTCACATATTGCATGTATGGAATTGTGTACAACTGTACATATCATGGTTTTTATTTCATAACGTATAATACTGTACAAAAACTGTACATTGGAAAGGTACAACACTAGTGTATATTAATGTGTATATTGTGTATAGAGTCTAATGTGTGTG